TTACAGACAACAAGTCCATGGTTTACAAAACAGGCTATTTAAGATAAAAAAAAAAAATTAAAAGCTAAAAGACAGAGAATAATGAAAAAAAAAAAAAACATAGGCCTATTAGATGCTACCAACATATTCTCCACTCATGTTCACATCTTCAACTGTAGGAACGACTGCAGTTTACTTAGCAAAAGTCAATAATGACATTTTTAGAGTACAGTAGAACACCCAGAATAAGCTTTTAGATTAGCACGTTAAATAAAGAGTAAAAAACTTACAGACATTTTAATTCATAAAACACACAAATCAGTTAATCATATTAAGCAAACATTTGCTGACATATATACAGATTTTCAGAACTTCAAAATATACCATCAGGCTTTTACTGACTATAATATCATAGTAAAGACTTGACAGTAGAGACACCTGAGTTTCATTAAGGATCAAAGTATATACATTTTATTTCATTTGAATCTTAAAAATCCCCCAAATTCTGTTTCGAATTTTGGTCAATTTAAACCATAAATGAGAGGATTTATTACAGGAGGTATCACAAGAAATTCTATTGCAATAAAGTTCTGAAGGTTTTGAGGTAAATCTTTTGAACCATATCGAATATGCATAATATCTAAAAGTATTGTCACAACAAAAATTAATAAGGAGGTTAAATGTGGCACACATGTTTGCATGAACTTTGCCCTGTTTTCTATAGAATTCACACATGTTTTGATGAGATACATGTAAGACCAAACTATAAAACAACCATGAAATATGTAAATGATAATTGTAATGTATGCAACTATGTTGTTAACAGTAGTTTCAGCTGGGAAACAAGCAAGTGTAACAATAGTCCAATTCACACAGAAAAGTCTGGCAATATATGGGCTGCATAACTTTAATCTAGATGTTAGAAAAATATTTGTGGCTACAATGCAAAAAGGTGTTACCCAAGAGAAACAAACTAACATTAAGACTCTTTGCTTTGACATGACAGAGTGGTACTCCAGTGGTCGACATATAGCCACATATCTGTCAAATGCCATTACTGAAAGAATAGACAGATCACTGCAGGCAAATGTGTATTACTAGAGCCTGAACAAGGCATCCAGAATAAGAGATCACATGAACAGGAGAAAGCAGATCCCAGAGAAACTTGGGGTAGAAACCTGTTGTTCCATAAAGTCCGTTCATGCAAAAAGTGCACAATAGAATATACATTGGTTCATGCAGGTTTTTGTCCAAGATGATGGTCACGATAAGAGAAACATTTACCAGCAAAATCACACAGTAACACAGTAAAGTGAGATAGAAGAGAGCAAATAGGTGGTTCTTTGTTTCAGTTAAACCTGAAAGAAAAAACATAAAAGAAACATTACCCATCATAGCAAAAGCACTTGTAGTTTTTTTTTCCCCTGTAAATGATAACTCTGTTCCTGTCTTCTCACTGTCACTAATAATGACTACATGAACAAATGAGCTGGGAATTAAAACCAGCCAACCAATCAGTGGTCCAGAAGAGCTTTCATCTTTTGTCATATATTGCAATCTTTGAGCACTGTAGAAAATAAAACACGAAGGCCCTTGGAGAGTAGAATTATCCACCAACTTTTTTTCAACTTCTTTTTGTATCCAAGAAATACATAATTACATATTCATTTTTTCCCTACATGTCCAGGCTTTGGATTTCAAATCGAATCAATTTACTCCGCCTTCATAGTCATGGAAGATTGCTATAATCTAGAAATTAATCCTATCTCCAGATGACCACTAAAATCTGTTTTATTGTTAGATTTTAAAAACTGTACCATCAGTTGTGGGTGATGTCCCTTGCTTGCTATGGACTATTTTGTCATGTAAAGGGAACAGTGTTCAGATGGAGCAGGCTGCCGTGTGTCACAAGCTATTGAGGGCCACCAGAAGCATTGTTTGATGAGAGAGAGGGTAGGGTGATGTCCTGGATGACATGCCATCTTTACAAAGATGACATGACATCTTTAGAGCAGTGGCCCCATTAGAGAACCTGGAATCTGGCAGAGTCACGTACATACAAACAAATAGCAGGTACAGTACCTGGTTTCAGCTGTTTCTGCTGAGCATTGCAAAACTCAGTTTCCACATGCCACGCTGCAGCAGCCACTAGACAGGAGGAGGGAAGGATGGTGTCCGGCTCAGAGTTGGACATCTTGTGTTCAGACTGGCGAGAGAGATCATCATGTTTACTATTATCCTCCATGCAGATTAGAATCAGGTCTAATATGAGAAAACACCTTAGCCTGGTGTAGGGACTCAAAGGCTGTATCAAAGAGGTGAAGTGGATACTTGTTCTTTACTGTGATACTAACAGCTCCTACTGAGGATGTAGAGAGGCGAATCAACCATACCACTAGGGGTACCAAGCTAGGTTACATGAGAAGTCAATGAAATTGTCATCAGCTCTGTCCACTAAGGCTAGCAGAGGAACATTCAGGTTAGCATACATGACAGGAGCTTCCAATTGCATACGCTGGGAAGGAGAATCAGAGAAGGTAGTAGCGTGGCTCATCAGGATCCCTTCCTTTACTGATGGGCCTGGGCTTTTACTAGTTGAGGACAGGAGATATACAGGTGGCCTGTCTGTCTTGTCTGTCTGCATAAATGCGCTGTCCTGTTCTAAGCTGTCACTGGTGCTTAGAGGTGGGAAGATGCCCAATTGCATAGGCTCTTCAGTAGAAACAGGAGACCTAGAATAAGGAGAAGGACTAACGTGAATCTCACTAGATAGTTTTGCTGAGTAGGTTTGTTGGTATAGGGGAGACCAGAACTCCCTGCTCGGGTGTTAGCTCTTTTTCTCTCCCATTCACGTAACCATAGGCGCCTAATCCATGGTTGCTTTGGGGCCCAAGCCCCCACAGAGAATGCCAAGCACCCACGTGTAGCAGCGTACAGTCATTATCCAAATTTACAATGGTTTGGTTGATTGGTTGTTTACCTCTCAGGCCCCTGCCCTTAACCAAATCACAGAGCGCTAATCTAACAGATCACCAGCCACCTGGTTGATTAACGGCTCTGGTCTAAGCCAGAGAAACTCTTCCTGACCCAGCCTAGGTTGCGCCACACATGTGTACGCCAAATTTACCGCCAAGGTAGATAGAGCGAGCCTAGCTCTAGCTCGTTAGTTTTGACCAGATAGACTTTCCTGCAGGTCCCAACTTCATGGCACTTATACGTGACATGATAACACTCGTCCGAAATAGATCCAGAGCGTCTCAGCTGGTTCCAAGAGTTTCAAGGCAAAGAAACACCGGCTTTAAGACCTCTGTGTCCGCCGTGCTGGACCATGACAACGGCCTTCTTACAGTCCATTGCCTCCAATTACAGCGCGGTAGAAGAATTTCTCGAGGACCTGTGTTGAAATGACAGAGGTGATGCAGGTGGTAAAGCCAACAGTCTGCTTTTGCATCTGCAGAAATTTAGCACTTTTTTCACCTTCAAACTCATGCTGAAACACACTGAGAGGAGACATAAAGTGTCCTAGTGAAGAAGGATTCCAAGAATTATCGGAAAACTCTATTGCAGCAGCACATGACCTGAACTTGGAGAGCCCAACTGTGCCCAGACCAAGAAAAATGCCTTGCCGACTGGAAGATGGAGGTGCGCTGCCACATCAGAAGCAATGTTTCAACAATAATACTTCTACATCATGGATGGTGATACAGCATCAGCATCCCTGGACTGCAGATTTAGTTCTGCATTTCAACACATGCAAGATGTTGAGGATTTTGTGACCGGAAAGAGCAACTGCAAAAACACAATACAGGTCCATGAGGATGAGGATTTGGATGAGACCAGGCTCACACTGCATCATGATATGTGCATGAGCGTAGCCAAACGACAAGTAGTTTGCCTAGCTACTTTTCAAGATGTTGTGGACTTTCTAAAAGGCGATCGGGGAGAGCACTTGAGAACCATGTTGCAAAAGATCACCAAACTGGTAAAACTCGCGCTGACTGTCCCTGTAACATACTGCAGTTCAGAAAGGTTATTTTCAGGCCTGTGGTGACCTATCTGTGGTCAACAATGGGACAAACAAGACTGAATCATGTTGCTGTATTGAACTGTCATAAGAATGTATCACGAAATAGGAACCCGGACGTAATCACAGATGGATTCATCAAGTGCACGACTGCGAGGAGAAACACTTTCCTTATAAAGAAGCAACATCAATGGTAAGTGAAAACAAATCCAATTTTAACCTCCAGTAGCTGTGTGTGGGCCTATATGTTGATGGAAAGAATGTAATGTAGGCCTGTTTTACTCTGAATGTAGGTTAGCCTATAGCCTAGCCTAACTTTTTAATGTGGGCCCCTTGTTGTTGTGCCTCAGCAGCGATGTCGGCTTTGTCTTGGATTGTACACTTGGCCTATGATTATGTTCATTTGAGAATCTTCCCAAATTATTTTTTCAAAATTTGATTGATTATGACTTTCGTTTCATTGTGTGTATCATTTCTTAAACTTTTGATCTCAAATCCCAGTTCGTTGTGCGTGTGTCGGTTTGTCCCTGTTATTTTCCTATTGTGATGAAATGTGTGATTTGAATACTGAGGCCTACTCTAAATCTGTATATCAACAAGAAACATTTGTATGTTGTTGTTTTTTAGCAAAAGGTTTATTATTTTATTTTGACCATCTAGAGCACCCACCGGCAGGAACATAAATCGGCACCTACGCACGTAACCAGATATCTAGTCTGATAGACAGGAAAATGAGTGTGTCAAGAGAGCTGGCTTCATCCCTAGCAGCCAACTTATCCTTTATTAAGTGTCGCACTGTGATATGTCCACCAACTTGTCCCTGAGTAAGACACTTATCCCCTAGTTGCTCCAGAGGCGTGCGACCTCTGACATAAATAGCAATTGTAATTCGCTTTGGAGAAAGCAGCAGCTGAGTAGATGTAATGTAAATGCACCCGCGAACAAACAGCCTTTACAAAGCTAGATCATCCCACACACTTTCAGCAGCCAAAATTTTAAACACCACAGACTATATTCAGCTACAGAATGAGAGCACCGTTGAAGAGTGAGCAGTCTATCCGCTGATTCCTTTCCCTGAACATGATGGTCAAAAACGTCCCTCAGTTCAGCTACAAATGTTTCATAAGAACAGATAGATAACACCCTTGCCCATAATGCTGTAGCCCACTCAGCTGCTTTTCACAGTTAACAACCCTGTAATGAAAGTGACT